ATATATATATATATATATAAAGTTAAATGAATATTTGTGGCATTAACTTTCCTATCTTACAAGTAAAACTTATAAGATTGAAATTAAATTTTTATTTAAAAACTTATTATTAGTAAATATAAATATTACACACATATATATTATATATATACTGAGTTTTAATATAATTCCATAATTTTCTTTTTTTTATAATCAAGTGCAATAGTTTCCATACATGATCAATGGGAAGCTAATTTATGTGCATTTGTTGCTTTTGTTTCTAGTTACAGGTGTTTTATGTCTTCTTCATCTTATTAAGCTTCACTTATCTCTATTTCTTCATTGTCCACTATCTTTGTTGGAATTTTTGGTCCATTTTTTATGACAAACCAAAGTTTGAAGTCGATGGATTGTATGAATATTTGCATACGCTCCTTTCACTCAGTGTAATTTATGCAATCGAAATATGGTGGCCTCAAAATAGGTTGTCCTTCAGTGACAATTTTCAGATTACTACCTTCAATTAATTCGTTTTTCAGATTACTACCTTCAATTAAGTCGATTTTTCAGATTACTACCTCCAATTAGGTCAGTTTTTAGATTACTACCTATTAATTTATTATTTTTTGTTTTAAATACCTGACTAATTTTTTTTCCTTCAATTTAGTACCTGACGTTGGTCTCCCTCTGTCAAGTAATGACATGGCAGATGGACTGCCACGTCATCACCCAACAGTGTTTGCCATGTCTTCACCATGTCCACGTGACAGTCCCTTGGATGACGTGGCAGACACTGTTGGGTGATGACATGACAGTCCGTTTGCCACATCATCATTTAACAGAAGAAACTAACGTCAGGTACTAAATTGAAAAAAAAAAATTGTCAGGTAATTTTAACAAAAAAAAAATTTAAAAAGTAGTAATCTGAAAATCGAGCTAATTCAAGGTAATTTAAACATATTTAAGCCTAAAACATTTATATTTTGGGTTCATGAATGAGAGTGAAAATGGTTTCATATTTTTTTTGGAATGAAAGAAAAATGTCAACTTTGTTGTAGTTGAGTTATTATCTCTGATTCTGTTACCAAACTATTATTACAGTTGTTTGCATTTGTTGTTGGGTTTGGGTGGAGGAGGTTGTTCTAGTGGCATGTCTTGAATATGTGAATACATGTGAGAGGATATCATTTAATTCGTTAATTGTAATGCTAGTTTCTATTGTGAAGCATGACACCCTTATGTGAAATTGGTTGCATGGTGCATAATTTTAATTAGTATGATAATTTTGTAATTATTTTTTACTAATATATAAATTTTAAAAATTCTTGGCAACATAAAGGATGATGGGGTTCTTTTTTTTTTTTTTTTTTTTTTTTTTTTTTTTTTTTTAATACAGAAGTTGTTTTGTTAGGAAACCTCATTTTTTACATTCTAGTCTCTCTTCTGTACAATTTTTTTTTGGTATGCATTACACTGAAAAAACCTGGAAAATAATGTGATTTTTCTTCTGTTGTTGTTGCAGATGAAATGTATGTCTTTTCAACAAGCAGCCAGCGAGTATCTGTTCAACTTTTGGGTAAAGACAAAATTCAGGATAAACTAAGTCGATTGGAGGAGTTAACCAGTGCATCATTGTCATATATGGGCATTAGTTCCCCTGGAATCCCATCTCACATTAATAATACAGTGCCAAGTAAGCTTGGTTCTTGAACACACCCATTTCATTGCTAATATTAAGATGAATGTGTATTGACCTAGTAATACCAATGATTTTGTTTTATTTTTTGTGATAAAATTGCAGTATCAATGAATTAGTTGCTTTTCCGTTAAGTATTTATTTTTGACTAAGCTGTTTCTATATGAAATAATTGGAAACTTTGATTATTTGGCATCTTCCATCCTGTAAGCAATTTGAATGTAGTAATCAGTTTCCTTGCAGTTTTGAATTTTCTCTTTTTTACATATATTATTTAAAAGAAGGAAGTAGTAGGCACAGTTGCTAAAACTGTGAGTTTAAATGACACCACTGAGCTTGATTTATATAGGCCTATTACAATAAATGCAATTGATTATAGGAGATTTTGTTCCTTTAAATCAGATACGACTTGCCTATAAGCTTGCTATTCAATAAATACAAAATATTTGAATCTAATTTTTAACAGATGTTTTCATGATTCTTTCACTTCAACCATACTTTTGATAGATATAAAAGAACTTGACCTGACTGGAAACCTTTCACTTTAACCATACCTTCCTTTTTGTCAATAGGTATGAAGAACTTGACCTAACTAGGAAACCTTTCACTTTAACCATACTTTTTTTTTTGTTGATAGATATAAAAGAACTTGACCTGACTGGGAACCTGCTTTCAGAGTGGAAGGTATGATATGCGACCAGGTTTTGTCTAGTGAGCAATCCTGGCAACTGCTGCAGCTTTGTGTTTGCTTTTTTTCCAACATACCATGCAAATGTCACCTAGAATTTTAATGATTTTTGTGTTTGATTCAACTTATTTTGAAGAAATAATAACTTTTTTTTACTAGTAATCTTAACTTGTGTTGTTTAATATTGTTTACTCACCTGTTTTGGTGAGTATCTTATTATCTGTATGGTAGTCCTTTCCCTCTTTTCTCTCTTATAATCATTTTTTTCTAATAAAAGAACCAATACACTGATCAGGTGTAGAGCCCCCTTTTACTTGGTTTTGTATGGCAACTATTTTGTTAGTGATTGATTGAGGGTGCTTGCCATTTACTTTTTTTTTTCTTCAATTGATCTCTTTGCAGGATGTTGGCATAATTTGTGAACAGTTACCTGCTCTGAGGACAATCAACTTATCTAACAACTTAATGTCACCATATAAATCAGAGCTTCCATTACTGGAAAGGATCCAAGTTCTGGTTCTAAATAATACTGGTGTTGATTGGGAGCAGGTTCCCTCTATATCTTTTCTTGACTTATGTTTCTTGCATAAATTTCTGTAATTTATAAATAGGAATTGCTAAATGTTTACTTTTTAACTGGGCAGATTGAGCTGCTTAGAAAATCATTGACAACAATTGAAGAGCTACATATATTGGGAAACAATATAAGCAGAATTCTGGTATGTTGCCTTTAGTTTAATATGCTTGCTAAATATCTTAAAAGCTGTAGGCATAGATGTGTTTCCCCAAATAGCCCATTGACTTACTTAGAGAGCAGTTTAATAAACATTGGAAACTGCTACAATCTTTTAAGTACCTTAGCCAGAATTTATGATGTTCAATTTAGAGCAAGTGAAGAACTGGTCTCTTCTGTCTTCTCCCATTGTTGTTCATTACACCACGAGTGATAGTATTAGAATGCAAGCCTAACATATTTAGGGAAAAACATTGCAGATATAGTCTTCACTCTTCAGTATTTCGCGACATTTATAAGAGCTGTTTTGTTGCACATTGAGATGTTTTGTTGAATGTGTTTTCTCTTATCTGGTGGCCCAGCCACTTGGATGTGCTAAAATATACAACACATTTCAATTTTTTTTTATAGGATGGAGATAATTCCATTTGTGCTAAGTTTTCTCTTTTGTTTTTAATTTTATGTAGCTCTACAATTTCTGATCAACTTTATAAAAGTTACTAGCATTTTTAAGCCTTCTAATTTTCCTTTTCTGTTCAGCCTGGGTCATCCTCCGTGGTTCAAGGATTTGATTATCTGCGGCTGTTGAATTTGGAAGATAATTGTATAGATGAATGGAATGAAATCATGAAGCTTTCTCAGCTAAGATGGTTGGTAAAGACAGGTTTTGTTTAGTTCTTGTCTTCTAGAATACAGTCCTGACTCCAGTTAGAACTGATACTTTCTTAACTCTTGACCACATATAACTAAAATAATAAAATCTGCTTCCATGTTGACCACACCTAAAATTATAATTTGATCTAACAACTTAACAATGTAGTTAACCCGTTTCCAGTTATCATTTCAGTTAACTACTTATTGTGAATGGTTGGTGTTAGACTGTTAGGAATCTTGTAAATTGTAATTATTTAATACTATATTGCATAAAGAGGGAAATGTTGAAATTAGGGATATTATGAGCTATATATTTATGTAACTGTTATCCATTGTATTTATGACTCTAATTATGAATAAGAGCCTCTCCTGTGTAGTCAAGTCACAGATTCATTCACATGACTTCTTGTTTTTCTGCCTCTCAACAGTTAGCATGATGCTGAAATTGTATAACTAAGTGAAATGTGGTTAAAAGTCACAGATGGTATCTGTATCACTGGAAGTAATGATTGTATCTTAGAACTGGCCATAAGTGTACAGTGCCCCTCATTTCTTGTTTCAGTTTTTTCTTCCCTAGACAGTGCCTCTACTTTTGGGGTAGATTTGTTTAAGTCTGTCAATTTGATTTATTTGCACTCGGTATATTTTGTTTCAGTTTGGAGCAGCTTTATTTAAACAAGAATCATTTGAATTCTATCTTTTATCCTGATAATGGTGGGCAGTATGAATCAGAAGTTACATGCAATAAACCCTTCCAAAATTTACGCCGCCTTCTATTGGGTATTGTTATACTTTTCCTCTTGATAAATATCATTTTCAACATATTGCATTGGAATCTGAATTGTGGATACCAGCTGAAGTCTTTCGATTCATTCAGGTAATAACAACATTGGTGATCTGGTCTCTGTTGACTCATTAAACTTGTTTCCTAACTTGGTGGTAAGGTTTATACTGTGAAGTGTTGATTATGCTTTGCTTGCATCTTTTATTTAAATTCTTGATGATGCTTTGCTTGCATGCTTTGTTGTACTTGTATCTCTAACGAAGAGTCTAGGACTGTGGCCTGTTATGATCCCATTTGAATAAGTACTTATAGGAGACAAAAATAAGAAGATAAAATGAATTAGACCTTTTCCATAAGTTAAAAATTAACTTACACACTTCAATTTTTATGAAAGTTATCTCATCTAACTTCTTAAAAGTTGAGGTAGATAAGTTGGTTTTAACATATAAAAGAAGTTTGATTCATTTTGTTTTTTAGTTTCTTCTTCTATTAGTGCTCAAGAGTTTATTCAACCAATGCCTATGTCAAATAATCCGTGTGAAAATGGTAAATTGGGATGCAATTCAAGATTATTTTGTTGCTACACTTGCCTAAATAACGTGTGCTGGTGTTCCATACCCATCTATCATTTGATTGAGCTATTATCTGTTTTGCTTCATGTATGTTTTTTTCACAGCCACTACTGACACTGGAATCATAATTTGTCATTTTTAATTGACCTTGATTTCTGCATGGTGTTCATCTTATTTAGAGATTGGACTGAGAACCCAGTCTTTAAGATAAGGTCATGGCATATCCAATTAAGAGAAAATGATAGTTATGGATGGGTACGTGTTAGGAACTCAGAAACAGAATATATTTAGATACATATACATGTGTAATATAAAACCATTCATGTATTAAGCCTTTGAGGTAGTTGGTTCATGACATGATATTTCAGAGAAATGAGGAAGAAAACATAGAAGAGATAAAGGAAAGAAGGATTCTATCATTGGTGAACGAATAACAAACAAAGAACAGAGGAGAGAATTATCCTTCCATGGGTTTCCCCTCCTATGACAGAGCTAATGCTTAGTTCCCAAGTTATAGCTAATCAGAATCCTCCTTTTCTACACTCTCCTATTTAGTCTAATTCTTTTCCACTTACTGCCCAAACATAACAATTGTACCTAGCTAATTACTCCCGAGCCATATCATTATTATTGTTATTACACTACTTTATGTCGGAACTACTGGGGAAGAGGACAGGATGTCCTCTTAAAGAAACAAGTAGAAACCAGTGGAGAAAAGCTTGCTAATCTCTTTGCATATCCAACATTGCAGCCTCTTTGAAAATTACTGAGAACAGTAGAGAAGCCCTCCAAAAAAGTTTGAAACGCTTCATTTTAAACACAGTTGCAAATATTTGTTCTTTACTGTACTCTACTTCTTGGCAATGATTCAGTTTTCCCTGTGTGTGTTGTGGCACATGCTTAAGCAAAGGACCTTAATGTGTTTGGGAAGAGGGATGTGGAAGAAAAGGGGAGGAAAGTATGGGGAAGTTGGAAAATGAGATCATTGAGACATGTTTGGTATGAGGGAAGGGAGAAGTATGTGTAAATTATTGTGGGCCCCATAGATAAAAACTTCCCTTCAATTATGTGGGGAAGTGAGTGGAAATCACTGTATCACACTGTTTGTGGCAGGCGTGTTGTACACTTGCAACAATTGTGTTATATATATATATATATATATAACATGATTTATTTATTTATAAATATATATTTATATATAAAATAGACATATAATATTATATATATTTGTTTTAAAAAAGAATTAAATAATAATTTTATAATAAAATAATAACAATTGTAATAATGAATAAATAAAGTAAAATAATAATAAAAATAAATTTATTGGTTTTTTAAATAAAATTTTTTATAAAAAATTAACTTCCATTCTATTTATCTTCTATTCTTTTTTATTAAACAACCTTTATTTCTTCTCTATTTCTTACTTACTTCCTTATGCTTCCTGTTTCTTCTCTTTCTTTCATTTATTTCTTTCATCTTTACCAAACATAGTGTACAAGTTTCCTTTGAGAAAGTAATTAACTTTCTTATGAATTTTGTTTCCTCATCATCATAGGGACTATTCTTCCTTTGTGTGTCTTTTCTCCCCTTTCTCTGCTTTTTTTTTTTTCACTGGTTTATTTTAGAGCAGATTTTTACAGATGGTAGTTTCTATTCTAATTATTAATCTTGAATAACAATGAAGGATACCAGGCTCTCTGAGAACCCAATTACTGATTCTAGAGGAGGTGGAGTCCCAAGATTTGTTTTGATTGCTCGTTTAGCAAAAATTCAGATATTTAATGGAAGTGAGGTATGTCTGTTTCATATTTGCTTCTTTAATGGACTCTTTTACCAAATGTAATGTATTCATATCTGCTTTATCTTTCAGGTTACACCTCGTGAAAGGAAGGACTCTGAGATTAGGTATGTTTTCAAAATTCTTTGCTTCAGATACCCTTTTGGAAATTGAAACTCTTAAGCGTCCTTTATGGCCATCAATTCTATGCATTGTTTTGTCATGCATTTTATCTTAGTCTTTGTATTGTTATTGAGTTTTTCATATGGATGTTAAATTTTTCTGGGTAGTATATGTTTGCAGAGATTATTCCAGCTTATGTGTTGCTCCTATGTTCTCTAATTGTTTGGTTTATGCTTATTTATTAAGACTACATAATTCATTGGAGACCTGGCTTGTTTGATACTCTGCAATTCAGTTAAATTATGTTTCTGTCTTTGTCATTCCATTGTGTCATGACTCATTGGATGAGTAACTTTCTTGGCATTGTGTGCGAAAGGTTCCATTTTCCTTCTTGGATGGTGGGTCATTTGTGGGATGCCTCTCGTTGTCAATGCTTGTCATATATGTCTTGCATTGTTTGATATTTCTCTTTCATGGAATCTAATTCCATAACTTTTGATTAATTATCCAAGTAGAAGAGAAATGATTTTTACGGACCACTATTGACTCCATTTTTTGAGAGGGTCTCCTATCGAGAACATGTCTTAGTTACCTGCTTTTCTTTCTTGGTCATGTCTCAAATCAAATAAGCAGCCACACACATAAGCGGGGATTGATGCCTCTTGTAGGCAGACCTGTTCTCTCATGATTCGATGATTATTACTACTATGATCAGAAGTAGATGCTTAGAACTTCAAATTACTATGAGGCTATGAGCTTTATTCCATGCTAGCCTTTCTTAAGAAGACAGACCCTTAGTGGGGCTGGAGACATAGTACCTCATTGCATGCTAAGGATCAGGCCCTAGGATTGGGTAGGCCAATACCACTCACTGACTCACGATTTAAGTTCTATAGAAACCCAAGCAATTTTGACTTTTGAGTCTCCCAGGGATTAATAATGCACACCAGACAATACACATAGAAAGTACCAATATCCAACTAAAACTGTAGGTATATATGATGGAATTAAACATAAAATTGATCAAACCTACACCCACAAGTTGCATCAGAACCCTGCTAAAGACAAATTGCAACTCCCAAAACCTTTTTAGAATCAAGTTGTAGCTTCCTGTATGAATGCCACTGCTGTCTATACCTACAAAGCCTTTATAGCTTACTCCATGGACATGCCGCAGGCAGATGTTACATTCATAGGGTCTCAGAAATAATTCTTAAATCAAGGATTGTTGTGTGAGAAATAATTTAACTTGTTTCTAGCATTCACTGTAATGAAGTAATACTTTTGTGGTTAGATTCCTCTAGAAGGACTGGCCATTAGACCCTTTTGTATTCTATAATTTCTATCAATCTTTATACGTGAGATCTGTGAGCCTTTTCTACTAGATAACCATGTTTACCGTTTGGGTTGAGAGTTCAATTAAAGGTTTACATCTAATTAGTGTTTAGTATGAAGCAATGTCATCTTTCTGTTCTTACATATGATTTATTCTTATGCAGGTATGTTCGGCTTGTCGTCTCAAGGTTGCATGCTAATCCAGAAGAAATCAAACAGCATCCCAGGTAAACTCATACTGGTGGATAGTATCTGGAACCTTTGCTCTCACATTAAAGCTGGATCAAAAATTCAAAATGCTATCAGAAATCAGTAACACTAGGTTGTGATGGGATTAAAGGAGAAAATACGTAATAATGGTTCAGGGTGTTTAGATTTTGAAATTGGGTTAAAGGTGTTGGTCGGGTCGGGTCTAGTGAACAAGCTTGATTGGGAATCCAATCAAGAACAAAGGGGAAGAAAGGAAATCTAGGTTTTACACCTTCAGTTCTTAGGCATCAAATCTGTTAATATTTACTGTTTCTCAACATTGTGAAAAGATTTGGAGGTGGTTGAGTCCCATTTAGTGAGGTTTATTTTATCTTTTTATGAGTTTACTTGTGATTGTGATATCTAGGGCTTTCCACTATCCAATCTGTAGTTCATCTGGTCTGCTAACAAAAAGCACACAATACCTTCTCGATTGGATGTTTTCTCTAGTAATTGGGAGATATGTTCAAGCTACTGTGAAGGAAACTTTTTTAACTTGTAAGTAAAAAAGGAAAGAAATTGATTCCTTTGCTGTAGTTTCTAATACTGAGCTTACTTCAGCTTTTACTCCGCAACAATCAGCTACCATTTGAATAGTGTCATTATATAGACTTGTATTGTTGATTTCACAGCTATTTTGTGTCAACATTTTTGGCACTAGATGGCCACTGAAGATACCTTAAAAAAGGATGTAGCAAGTAACAAGAAAAAACCCGAGAAAGGTGCAAGGCAGCCACCCAAAAAAGCTCAGGGGAAAATGTGACTTGTGAGCTTATTGCTCCAACCAGGGGAACCAATGGATTGCATGTTGCACACAACCACATAACTTAAGCATCCTTGTTTCTACCAGAAACTTCCCAAGGGTCCAACAAGAACTGCTCCATTGTTGTGAGATACACAGTTCAAGAGTCCCTAAAGATTGTTCCTTATAAAGTTTTCTGCTTTACAATGCTTAATTAAATGCTACACCCTTCTATTTTAATTGAATTTGCACAGAACACATGTTAGAAGAGTTGACTTGAATTGAAACTGGATCTATGGGATTATCAATTAAATTCTATCTCACTTTGAACATGTTTTGTGAATGTGCCGGTCCACTTTATTACAGGTTTTACGAGCTTAAGAAGATTCATGGAATTGAAGATGAAAGACCTTCAATTGGAGCTACTGCCCCACAAACAATCAGCTCAGGATTATTGTGTATGGACTATGGATGTTAAGTTTGTGCATCGGCTCCTTTTTCTGAATTTGAAATATCTTTATTTGATATAGAGATTAATGCAGCCATCACTCTGAATTGTGTCGGAGCATCCTTGGGTGAGAAGCCACCGTTGACAAAGAAGCTGCCAGCAACAACTACAGTTGAATATCAATACTACTCTAGTAATGTTCAGTTTGTACGACTTGAAACATCCTTTCTGATTACCTTGTTTTTGGCAGGTTGGTAAACTGAAATTTCTTTGCGAAAGCTTTTTTAAGCTGAAGTCCGTGAAGCTAAAACTATATCTTCAAGAAGAGGTTTGTTTTTATTAAGAATATAAGATGTGCTTTTGTACCATGATTGATTCAACTTTTCCTGTATCGGAAGCAGCAACCTCAAGATAATCTTTAAAAATCATTTCAATCTGTCCTGGTTGATGCAATTTTTTCAAACTGATATGCTAAAAAAACGAACTTGTGACAAAAATTTCTTGTGGAGAATGAGGGAGGTGGGTCATTCTTGTTTATTCTTCTCAAGAATTTTTTTGCAAGATAAAAGAACTATGCAGCGAGTATAATTACTGCACAAAGAAAAAAAAATTTCTATTTTGATTTAGTTACATTTCTTTGAATTTGCAGGGTTCTCCATTTCCCATGCTGCTCGACAATGAGACCTCATCTCTTATGGACCTTGGAATTGGCAATGATTCCATTATCCTTGTAGATGAAGAAAGTTAATAAATGTATCAGAAAATTTGTGAAAAGCTTCTCTTGTGCTGAAGACTGTGTCATGTTCTGACTAGCTGAAATTACTCGCGGAAGTGTGGCTTTAAATTGAATACAGATATTTGTTAGTGATACACCTGTTGTGTTGGTCAGTTGAAGTTCTTATCAGTGGTTTTGATGCACTGCTTGATCGGATGATCCAGTCCATCCCTTGCCAGTTGCCACAACTGTTTTCTGTAAATTATGAGTTATTTTGATTCAATTGCAAACAGATTTGGGTCTTATATTCAAGTAGAGTAGAATCGTATTATTTGGAAAATGGCCATAAAGTTGGTAACAAATATATCGATCAATATAGCATTTTTTTTAACAAAAAACATTATACCCACCTTTATATTATAAAAATGAGTCGACATTTTTAAGCTACTGTGAACCACCTTTATAGGTGGTATATGGTAATTCACTTTTCCTAATCATTAGATATATCTAGTTCTGCGATAATATAGAACACCTTCGGTAAATTAATAGAAAAATTATATGGGAAAGGAAAAAAATATGATGACTAAACTATAACATTATATAAATGAAAGACCAAATTAAAAAAAAAAGGTATTTAGAATTAAAAATATATTTATTATTTAAGTTAATTTTTTGTTTTGAAATTGAGATATCCATTCTGGTTCCTCTAAAGCGAGATATTCATTTTACATGCTAATAAGAAAATGAGGAGACTCCTTAAGATATCCATTCTGGTTCCTCCAAAACATATCCACTCTTTGTATAAATACAGTGGTGCCATACAGATTTAGACTTTTTGAGCCCATACAAACTGAGAGACCTAATCTTCATATCAGCTCAATCGGCTACAAACGCCACAGGCTCAGGCAAGCAACCTTTTCTTTAGTCACTGCATTACTCTTTTTTAATACTCTACTTATTATTAGCTGAATAAATTTTGGTGAGTTTCATCACTTTATTAGAAAAGGAACTCATTAAATGAAATATGAGATTATCAAAATTTATGATTTTCAATAAATTTTAGTCAATAATAAAAAAATATCAAAGACTAAAGAGAATGCTACAAGCATTTTTCTATATATGTTAATTTTAGTGGATGATATAATTTTGTATGGAGAGCATAATATTTGGATTACAAGCAACTATGTGGTTGAACTATACCCAGTGCAGTTCCATCAGCATGATTACACAAAGCTTGGGAAGCTTTGTTCTTGTAACTGAGCTTCACATCCTCCAACGTTATCCTTTCACATGGCTCCTTAGAACTGCAATCAAAATTCACAGCAACACTTGTGGCAGATGTTCCATGAATGCCTCTGTATGAAACATCACTGATTTTCACCCCAGAGGCCTGTAATTGGAATCCCACAAAATATATCATTTCCCTATCAAGTTCATTGTTGAAATTAAGTTGAGCTACACTCTTGACCTTTTAAAATTATATATGATTAAGATATGATTTTGTTTTCTTAATAGTTGGGGATGAATTTGTGACTTGAAATAAGAAATTATTTTAACTGGTGAGATTTAAATATTTGGTAGGTAGAAATTTAATGAAAATTAATTTTTTTATAGGGCGTAAGGAGATTTTAAGATTTCCTTAATTATCAGGGTGAAAATTGAAATATTATGTTTGGATTACTGGATTTTGAGCATAAGAGAGTTTAACGAAGATGGTTCGATCAATTTGATTTGTATAGAATTTTAACGGAAATAAGGAATTGGAAGTTTTAGACAAAGAAAAATTAGTAGAAAAAGAATTGAGGATGTTGTGATGGAAGAATTTAACAAAGAGAGAGGGATTCTATATTCAACTGAAATTTGCTTTTGTGTATTTTGCTCTAATGTTGAAGAGTGTACTTCTTCTCCTCTATTTGTGTATCGATCTTATGCTATTTGGAAAAAAGTTAATTATATTGACTTGGTTCCACAACTATAGTAGCAATGTAATGTCGTAATGTTGAATTTGATTTTAATATACTGCTGGCTCAAGTTAAAGCTTGGTGTTGGATTAGAGCTAAATTTGAAGGAGTATATTTTAATTATTATATAATTGGCCGGTAATCAAATCCTTTGCCATGTATTGAAATTTAGATTAATTTTAATGTAGGGGTAACCCTTCAATTAACAAATTTATTTTGCTGATAAAAGCTTAATCATGACAGAAGAATAAAAATACAATTAAATCTAGAAATTGGAATTGGCTAGTCCTATTGTGTATTTTAGAAGCAAATGATCCATTGTAAATTAAAGCAAAACTATATTGAGAGGAAACTCACATGACTAGGGCAGATATTGTGAGGGCAGTAACTTTGGTCTATTAGAATGGGATTTTGAACATCAATCATGGTTGCACCTTCAAAATGTACATCTTTCACAAATCCTCTGCTGGGCCTCCCCCAAGACTTTATTCTAAAACCATTTTGTGTCTTAATGAATGTAGTCTTTCTAACTGTCACATTTTTCACACCAGGTTCGTTCATGTCCCATCCTAAGCTTCCAATGCTGCCACACGAATCAAGTAAATAAATAATTAGTACTCTAGCTAATGCCAAAAGTTTTTGATCACTAGCTCTAGTTACACAATTAAATTCAAACAAAGGCAGTTTAGTTAAAAGACACTATTAGTTTCATCTTAAAATTAATAGATAGTATATACTATATGAAGATTCTACATTAACCAACGATTTGACTAAAATAATATATAGAATTGGGTTTAGACTTAATCATACACATTCAAATAAAGACAAATAATAAATTAATTTAGTTTCATCTTCAAATTAATAGACATTTATTGATCTTATATTAGGCAATGATATGAATAAAATATATATATAAGTAAATTTAAACTTAATTTAATCTTACAAAATAATTTAAGAGATAATAATTGTTATCTCGTTTATGTATATATTATTTTGATCATATACTCCCAGTAGAAGTGAGATTTTCGACAAATACATTAACAATAAACATGTTAAGTAAAACTATCTAATAAGTAATTAAAGTATGAGATTTTCCAACAAAATTGGTATAAGAAAACTTCAAATGAAGACAAAAAAATGAGCAACCTTATTCCATGACCAGGTCCACATGTAGCATCTTCAATCCACAAGTTCCTAGTGCCAGGACCAATAGAGATGCAATCGTCTCCGGTATGAATACTAGGTTTGATGATGGTGACATCGTTGGAGAATTGGACGTGGATGCCGTCAGTGTTTGGGCTGTTTCTAGCAGCTATGGCCTTCAGTCCATGCAATTTGACGTTGTGGCATCCATTGATGGTTACATGGAACATTTGACTATGAAGAGAAGTCAATCCAGTAATGAGAATGTTGTCTGAGTTTATGAATCCAAGTGTCTGCTTGTACATTACCAGAAAGAGAAAACACTGTCAAATTTGTGGGAACAAAAAATCACACATATACAATGACATATAAAGTGAGATTTCTTCTTATCATGATCTGAAATGAAAACCATAACTCTAGATTATACCCATAAAATTATAAGTTAGTTCATGATCATATATATCATATAGTCGCTTAATATTATATATATATATATATATATAAATATATATATATTTTGAAAACACAAGTATATTATTATTAATATTATACGTGATAACAAAGAAAGATTTTTCGAATTCATATACATATAATATTTACAATATGTGCCTATTTACATACCATAGTTTCTTTTCTACTTCTACTATAATATTTACATGGGTGGTTGAAATAAATTTACAATTGGATTAGTACGGTTGGCAAATGATAAAAAAAATAAAAATTACTATAATAGATCCATCAATACTAGTAGGGTTTTCTTGGTAAAAAAAAAATGAAGATAATCATATGCCTTCAAACATAACAGAGTTGGAAATAGCTTCCACATTCCAATTCCCTAGCTTCCACATTCAAATTCCCTCCAAGGAAGATAGCAGTAATAACAACCGTAAAAAAACCTGGAATCGCGGGTAGATCCATCTATTTTATATATATATATATATATATATATATGTGTGTGTGTGTGTGTGTTGTGTGTGTGTTTTTATTTTAATATTGACTAGTTAAATAGAATATACATTAATAATTTCCATTTCTTATAATTAAAAAAAATGGTCGTACATATCTATTATAAAATGACACATTAACATTTTTCAAAAAAAGAAACGAAGAAAAAGAGTTATCTTGCTGCAATAATAAGTGGATCCACAGTTTGATACAAAATAGTTGTTTGTATAAATAATATTTGATTAAATACATAAATTGCCCTATTCTAACGGTACAATTATAGTTAAGAAACAGATTCTTAAATTAAAACTGCTACCTCTAAAGTTACTTTTACTCACTTTGTATAATAATAATACCCATTGAAAAGTATGTAACAAATAAATATATAATAATCACAATCACTTTTTTAAACATACTTTTTAATATCGTTAAAATGTATGAAAAACTAGAAAATTTATCTATTTTTATGTTGAATGAGTTTCACAATGTGTTCATACCAATATCCGGATGAAACTTAATCAAGTTTTTTAAATTACAAAAAAATAACAATCCTTAATTATATATATGGAGATTACTAATCTCATTCTATTTAATATTTTCTCCATTGCTAACATTCCTCTACCCTTAATTGCCGCATCTAAGTCTTTAACCTAGAAAACCAACCAAATTAAAAGCTACACAACACAAAACCTTAATTAATAATTACCTTACCATACAAGCATTAAAAAAGCATAAAGAAAATCATACATATAATTGAACTCAATTCTCTTAAATAAAATTTTGAGTTCAAGTACTGTGTATAAAAAAAAAAGTGATTAAAAGGAGAAATTTCACTGAAAATAATAAAAAACTAATACTTAAATTATTCTATAAATTGTTTTACATGCTAGCTAGAACGATATGTGCATGCATGTAACATATATACATACGTACAGCGGCTCCACTAGGGCAATGAACATTGGTTGGTGAGTTCTTGCAATGCCACAAGGAAGTGCCACGAGCATCAAGCACCCCACCATGGATGGAAACCCCACTAACACGATCAAACATGAACCAGTGCAAGGAGTTTCCAATGAAGTTGTATTCAGAAGGAGCCACCAAGGTGCCACGAATGGTTATGGAGATAGCTTTGTTACCACATTTTCCACTGAACGTAACGGCTCTTCCCACCAAAAACTTCCCTCGTGGCACGAGAATGCTAGCGGGTTTTGCTGATCCACAAGCTTTCTTCCATGCACTCACCAATGCGTTACTAGAATCGGTTGTGCCATCTGGCTTGGCTCCAAATGCTACTACATTGTAGGTGGCTGATTTGGCCAAGGTTGAATGGAACAAGGAGCTTGAGAAGAGGAAGTACAATGCTACAACAGAAAGAGGATGTGTTGTTGTTTTGGTCATTAGAAATTAATTAAGGGTGTTTCAAGTTTGATCCAGAGAGTGAAGATTGAAACGTAGTAGTGGTGAAGAAGGTGGAGTCGTGGGGGAATAACGGTTTGTGGATGGAGGGTATTTTTTGGTCATTATAAGCTGAGGAGTTTTGTATATTGTCAGTTAAGTTTTCATGCCTATTAATTAGTACTAGCACAAAAAAAAAAAAACACTTAATATCTATATATACTGTATTAAAAGAAGAAAAATAATTATTTTTATAAGTAATTATTGTAGTTTCAAAAAAAAAAAAAAAAAGAGAAGTTACTTATAAGAAAAAGTAATTTTAAGAAGTTGTATAAAAAAAACATGGGAAGAACTGCTCATATAAAAATGAAAATAAAAAATAATTAGCATAAGGAATATCCCTTTATATATTTCTGTTTATAATAATATAGATATATTAGTGAATAAATAAACAAACAAATAAATGTCTCAAACAAACTCTTACTACAAGTGTTTCTAGGATTGTAATACCTTAAAAACAAATCATGGCTTACACATCCCTTACACATCCCATTTTGTGTGCACATAATTTCTAACCAATATTAATTAGGGGTGTTCATGCATCGGTTTTTTCAAAAAATCGATCCAAACCGAACCGAACCGTTTTATAAAAGTGGATCGGTTAACCGATCCATTTTTTATAAAGTGGATCGGTTTGGTTTTTTTAAAATATGGATTGGTTTTTTTGAAATTGGATCAGTTCGGTGCGGTGCAGTTATCCACTTTTTTACTCATATATGGATCGGTTTTTTTAGAAAACCAAACCGAACCGAACCGATCCACTTTGTAAAAATGGATCGGATAACTGAACCGATTTTATAAAGTGGTTCAATTTGGATTTTTTTTCAAAATGGATCGAATTTTTCAATATGGATCGGATCGGTTATGGATCGGTTCGGATCAATTTGGATTTTTTGCACACCCCTAATATTAATTATTACTTTCTTACAAGTGTTTCTAGGATTGCAATACCTTAAAACAAAGATCTCAATCTCATTGTGTATTCTCATGACTTACACATCTCATTTTGTGTGCACATATTTCTAATCAATATTAATTACTACTTTTAATGGTAGATACTAACTTCAATTTTTATCTTAAACATAGAGTCGTAACAAAAATTAGAAGTATTACTTTATTTTTAAAATGAGTTAACCTAATGAGAGAATTATATCTCTTAATTATACAAAAGAAAATTGTTTCAAATAAATAATGAAAAACTTCTTATTTGATCAAGATTCCATACTAAAGTGAAATATAAATATTGAACCATTTAAGCTTTGATAAGTAGAAGTCGTGTTCTGTGAACTCATAATAATTCTTGATTATTAACTTTAAAATACTGTATAAACTATGTTGATGGACAAAAAAAAATCACTTAAACTAATATTAATTTTAATGTCCTTTGCTTATTAAGATGGTTTTAATTAATATAATTGAATTTTTTCTTTTTATAGTTGCTTTTTTTTATTATTTATTTACATGAATATTTTATATGAACTTAATTATCGGCGCTGCACGTAAAACCGTCGATATTGATATTTGATAATGTACCGGGAGGACCTTATCGGTCACGTTGACCAACACGTGCCATTCCGTCAGACACCCATGCGAACTGGACCATATCCAAGGTTGACGTTAGCATCGGCCCAGCTGAAGGCCGATGCAAACGGCATGATGCATCCCCCGCATCCTACGTATCAGCTCGGCCAAATGCCGATCCGATAGGATTACCAAATAAACGTTTACCGACCCGGTCAACAGTCGAAGACATGCAACCTCCCAAGCATTAGCCTGTCGGCTCGGCAATGTGCCGATAGGTTAAGCGGATTATAGTACAAATCATAGTTAACAAGGACAAGTGCCTAATTAAGACATGATTAGCTGATTAGCATCGTATTACCTAATTTGGTAAAGATTAGAATAGGCCCACCACGTTCAGGCCCATGTCAGGTATTATAAATAGGTCACACGCAACGAGGTACGTCACTGTTCATTAATTATCCTAGAATATCGTGCTTGTCCTGACTTGAGCGTCGGAGTACCTTTTGCAGGTACCTCCCCCCTCTGACGAATCCGTTTGAAGTATCCGTTCGGCCCTTCTTACCAAGAAGACTACGAGTGTATCCTTGAGCAGGTACATTTTGGCGCCCACCGTGGGGCCGAACCGATAGCATTGCAGAAGCACTGAAAGTTTACGAGTAAAAGAATCATGGTAAAGACAAGGAATACTAATTTTGAAGGGCAACAGTCTGAAGACGAGCATCAGTCCGGGGCCGAGACGGTTGAGGAGACAAACTTGACCGATATGGTGCGCCAGATGAAGGAAGAAATGATCGCCATGAAACAACAGCGAGAGAGAGATGCTGCCGAGATGGCTGCATTGAGAGAAGAGAATGCTGCGCTGAAAAATCAATACCGGGATCCCACATGGAAACCATCTGAGACAACTCACACACAGGGGTCGTTCCACTCGCAGGGCCCTCACTCTTCTCTTCCCCACACCTCCGTCGCCGCTCCAGCTGCGCATGCTTCGGTCGGCCGACCGATCCAGCCTTTGCCGGCCGGAGCACATCGGCATCCTTTTACCCCGAACATCATGCAGATGGCACTCCTTGACCATTGGAAGTCTTTGCCCTTAGACAAGTATGATGGCACTACCGATCCAGACGAACACGTGGATGTGTTCTTGACTCAAGTTACTCTAAGCACAAACGATGATGCTGCTCTATGCCGAATCTTCCCAACATCCTTAAAGGGACGAGCACTGAGTTGGTTTACTCGGCTTCCGGCCAACTCGATTGATTCGTTCAGTACGTTGGCTTCCCAATTCACAATTCAATTTGCTACCAGTCGGCCTCACCAATTGACCTCGTTGGCACTAATAAGCATTCGTCAGGAGAAGAAGGAATCCCTTCAGACATTCATGAGCCGATTCAACAAAGCGGCGCTCGAAATTCGAGACCTAAACCCTGTTGTAGCTCTACACCACCTTACTACTTCCTTGAAGCCAGGGCCTTTTGCCAACAACATTTGTAAGAAACCCCCTACAGACATGGATGATTTGCGTAGGCAAGCCGACAAATACATGCAGATGGAGGAATTGGCCGAGTTCCGGAACCAAGCCCGAGTAGAAGTGTCAGCAAAACCTGACAAGCTGGCAGAGCCGAGTTTTCGGAGTCGACCGAAAGAGTTGGTTCCCCGCGAGAAGCCCCCTCGAGGACCAAGGTACTCACAATACACGCCCCTTAATACTAGCCGGTCGGCAGTATTAGAACAAGCACTGGCCTCGGATATACTGGTCATCCCAAAACGAGCATCAACCCCTCCTCGGGCCGATACGACCAAGTCATGCAGATATCATCGCAACCGTGGACATTCAACTGACGATTGTTTGGCCTTGAAGGATAAGATTGAAGATTTAGTCAAGCAGGGACAGCTGTAAGGTTTCGTTGAGCGTCCAGACCGATCGAGATACGAAGACCGGTCACGAAGACGCGACCAACTCGAACAAAGGACAGAAACACGTTCTCGCAGAGAACGTAGTCAGTCTAGAGATAGAAGAGGGGATGAGCCTTCGACATAGCCTCGGCGAGTCATCAATACCATTGCTGGGGGATTCGCTGGAGGTGGCCTATATAAATATATTTTTTTCTCATCGTACGTTTGTGGTTGTTTTTAGGTGAGGAAGATATGAATTTGAGTGGCATTCAAGGTGCCAATAGTTGAGTCATGGGAGTGCTTTGATAGTGTGACATCGGGCAAGGTCTTCTAGAACTTTAATTTTTATTGTAATTGGAGTTTTTACATTTCCTTTGAAACTATTTACGAACTTATTTGCTTTCTAAACTTTATTTTAAATTGATCAGATATTGGAAATGTATTTTCTTTTGGATATGTGAACCATTTTACCCGTGTTGGAGTAACATTTCTTTATATTATTTTATATATGTATTAGGATAGAATGGGTGTTACAAATATCATTTTATCTAACTTACTAAAATAAATTGTGCATAGCATGAGTATCAATATAATATATTAAAAAATTAGAAGGTGCAAAATGACAGGGGCTAACACCCCCCTCAACCTTCAAGTAGGTCCTTCCTTATACACAACAGTAGTAAAGTAACACCTTGAGGGCAAAACATTGAGATGCTCCAACCTTAGCAAAAAATAAAATCTACAGTTGCATATTAAAAGGAAGATATGCTTTATAAAAAAAAAAGCACAAGAAAAGTATGTTTTAGAATAAAAGAAAAATAATGAAAAGTGTATTTTGTAACAAAATAAAATATTAAAGGTTTGTTTTGTAACTAAAAATATACAGAAGGTATGCAGATTTATAAAATTTTTATTTATGAAAATCATTTTAAAATTTAAAATAATTTTAAAAATATTTATTCTAAAATATCCTAAACATATTCTCATCACTTCCATTCAAGATAATTATTTTAATTATATAGAGAAAATAAGTTAGTTTATTTTTATTTGATATTTTCTTAGAGTTAGGTAATAAACTTTAAAATATTTATTTATTATAATATTTAATTTATAATATAAATGTTATGTTCAATGGACAAACTTAAATGTTATTAAGTAAATAAATGAAAATATATTTAATTAATAACTAAAATAATTTTATTTAAATTATTTAATTTAATTATCTTTTAGATAATATTTGTTACATTTTAACATTTTTATTAATGTAGACAATGTTATTATCTTAATTTGGATAATATTATCGTCATAGATAATTTGTTAATAACATTTTTTCCAGGTTTGAATTTACTATATATAATCATGTCGGTTAGCCTAGTGGTTGAATGAGGAAGGGTTGGGGTAGTTAGAAGCATGAGAACCTAAGTTCAATCTTCATTACGACTATGTTTGTAATATTTCCTATCTTTACTAAAAAAAATGTTAACTACATGAGAATGCCAAACATTTTCCTTTACTATAATTTCAAGTTCGAGCCATTGATATGCAGTTGGGTTGAGTGCTTCAAGAAAGATATCTATCACGAAAGCAAGATTATTTTAATTGTGAATTCTACCAAAAAAAACATCATACTAAGGTTAATAAATTTTTATTAAATTTGACATATGAAATTGATAATATATGTGTTATTTGATCTAGTTTTTTGCTATATGGTGTGATGCATATTGACATGCTTCTCTTTGTTCATTATCTTAGATGATTTAGTGTTTCAGAAATAAAACAAAAATCAATTTTCTAAAAGAAGTCTTGTGTCTTGATTTAATTTTGAATTTTATTTTTGAAAATAGATGATAATAAATAATAAAAAAAATTTAAATATATTTCTTTTGTATTTAAAATAATATAATTTTTAGAATAAAACTAAAATAAAATTATTTTATTTTATTTTAAATTAATTTTGTAAGGACTGGGTAACAAACCTTTTTTTCATAGAATTTGGTGACAAACTTACAAAATAAAAAAATTGAAAAGATAAAAAAAAGTTTTTAATCTTCATGAGATTCACATCAAACTATTTACCTTAATAATTTTTAATTTTGTAGTGTGAGAAAATAAAATAAAATATTTTAAAAAATGTTAGTTTAATTTTTTAGGATCAAGTTAACTATTACAACATAATGAATGAAAAAGAGTGTTATAGATATTTGATATTCCAATTTTGGAAAATGTGAGAAAAAGTGAATAATGTGCTAAATTGGATTATTAAGAGAGAAGATAAAAGATAATAAAATTAGATCGGTAAATCAAATGGAGGGGTAGGAAAAGATAAAGGAATGAATTTTCTTAGAAAAGATTTTGGTGAGTTTAAAGGAATTAATTGAAAAAGACGAGGAAAGATAATAACAGGAAGTGTTCTTACCGGAAATCTGTTGTAGAGATGATCTGCCGAGTAAGATTGGTGAGCCTCATTCACGGGTACGTTGATGCTCCAAGATGGGGGTGGTACCTGCAAAAGAGACTCCGATGTCAAAGTTAGGGTTTGTATGAGTATGAGTCTCGTATAAGTAATGCACGTACCTTAGTGTGAATTAGGGTTGCTTTGGGCCCTGGGCCTGAGATGAGATATGATAAGATTAGATAATGGATCCCGTCTGGGGCGAGATTCCCTGAGATCAGTTATGATCTACTTAAATGCCGAGCTGACGTCGCGTAGCGCGTGCCCGAGGTCATCTTGCGCTGTGATACCGAGCTCGGAGCTCAGTTTCGCAGTACGGACAGTACAGGAAGTAAAGCCCTAGAAGGAAAAAAAGGAACCTATGTGAGGCTTGCACATGAACAACACCTTTGAACCACTATACAAAATTCAAATTTAATTTAATGAGAGAGTGTGGAGTCCACAAAGTAACGAGTGAACAAATTGATGGTTGTGTCTAATATAATAGGGTTGATATAAAGATAAAGGTAAAAATAGATTTTTTTTATATTTGATTTTGAATGTGAATTTGAATTTTTAACATTAATTAAACATATATTTATATATATAATTTTTATCTCAATTAAAATTTAAATTTTAGAATTAAACGATAAAGAATATAAAATAATATGTTAAAAATAAAAAATGTTTTAAATGAATTTTTTTTGTTCATTAAAATGATATCTCTTTAATAGTTTGTTTTATAGTTTGACATACTTTAATAATTTATTTAAATTATAATGTATCAAGATAATTAATTTTTATTTTTTGTAAGTTTTGATATTGATAATGATAATATATGTTTTTTTTTTATAGAGATGGAACTAGATAAAAGTTAGATACAAATTACTAATAGGACGAATCTTCAATATGAAAAGGAAGTTTGTGAATTTCTCAAATTTGCATTTAGTGGTGTTGAGGAAGGGAGGTTACTTTGTTGTCCATGCAAAAAATGTAAGAATGACCTTTTTTGGTCTCAAAAAATTATATATTAACATTTGATCATAATTGGGATATAAAAAGATTAAATTACATGGGAACATCATGGAGAAGTGATGAGTGAATTTGATGATGAAGATGATAAAAACATATGTAGTGATGGACTTTTTGACATGTTACATGATCTTAAAAGTGCTAACAATTTTGAAAACATCACAGAAAATAAGGAATCAAGTTATAGTACTAACACAAATATTGGTCGAGTAAATGAAGAAGTAGAAAAGTTTTTTAGATTATAGGAGGATGTTGAACAAGAATTGTATCTCGGGTGTGTGAACTTCTCTAAGTTATCATTTATTGTCCGACTATTGAATAACAAATTTCTATTTAGTTTGAGTAGAAAATCAATTGACACTTTACTTTCTTTATTGGCTAAAGCATTTCCACAAGGAAATAAAGTTCCTACATCTTATTTTGAGGCTTGAAAAATTATTCGTGAACTTAGGCTTGATTATATAAAAATAGATGCTTGCTTGAAAGATTACATTCTTTATCAAGGTGATTATTCGAATTCTATGTCTTGTCTAACTTGTACTACTCCTTGATATAAAGATCCAAATAAAAAATGTTAGTTTTATTTCCCCCTTCCTTTTTTAACATAATAACCCATTTACCCATTCACTTGGCAAATGAGGCAAAGATTGATGGACCTGTTGTGACACCCTCTACCCTAATATACATATATAATAATTAAAAAAATAAAATAAAATTCTTCATCATAAAACAATAAAATCTCCAACCACATAAGGGTAAAGAGTTCACATTCATAAACTTAATCCAAATAACATGTCAGTGAAATTACAAAGAAATAAAACTAAGTTTTCCAAAATAATTGAATAAGAACAACATCTTAATCTAATCCTATCTACGCCTCAATGTTACATGTCCTATCAGAGCAAAGCCCAACAAAGAAGTCTAAGCTTCATCACCAACATCCTCAGCTTCACGCTGATGATCACCTGTATAATAGTCAAAGGAAAACAACACAAGAGAAAAGGGAGTGCGAAACATCTCACTCTTGCTCACTGTGTAGGAATATACATCGGATAGCCAAACACAAACAAGACAGGTATAACATAGATATATTAATAACAATATTACATCTCACTCATCCAAGACATAAAAATATCAATTTATCATATAACATTAAAAATGCACATGTATGGATACAGACTACATATTATCATGCATGTGATGCCAGTAAAACATCACATGGCATATTGTCGCTAGCAATACATAAAGAGTAGTCTAGGAGTACATGCCGGGTCACACCATCTGCGCACTCTCACTAGAAGGACATACTACCAGGGTCTCATCGGGATAGCTAAGCCGCGCAAGATACATCCCATGCACATAATGGGCGAGACTGGGACTTCCAAACCGAGCTATTCCCAAGGACTAATCTCCAAAGCTTTTACACTAGGGGGCCTTCCCTGGAGGTGTATTCCATATCGTACCCTTAAAAACATTTATGCAAATGATGCATGTCAATCAAGACTCTATGCATTCTCATATCACATTTTCATGTTTCATTG